AGTCTCTTGCATAAATGGAGAAGGGTGGGTGGGTGGGTTACTGGTTCTCTTTGTTTGTAGCATGTGAGGGAATTCCAACCCCTCCCATCATGCAAACAGCGTGTAAAGAGTTCTGTAGCTCACAGAGAGAGACGGTGGGAAATGCAGGTTTAGATTAATATTGCATATTCACTCCTGGCTTCAATATTACATTGCTTTATCACAAATTTAAAATTAACAAATTTATTCTGATGGGTTAGGATTCATCTTTTACTTTCCTGTATCTTGTACAGAGGTAGATTCATAAACTGCACAGATGCAGAGAGATAACTCAACAAGATGTCCATAACAAAGAACATTTATTGGTTCATCAGGTATCCTCATAACTCACATTTGTGACAAAGTTCTTCTTTTATGACCAATCCTTTGTATATCTGCCTTGTAGTAAAAGATGGTTATCTCCTAACCCATCTCGTAACGATAGAAAGAAGGTGCCATGAGTTCAGACAAAGAATGAGGACAACTTTCCCCAACCCCTCGAGAGTCAAACTAGTGACCAATCAGGATTACAGATGTGGTCACATGACATGAACTACATTTCCCAGGATACCTTTAACTACATTTACCATGATGCATTCCCTTAAGGGGACAGCTCATAATTCCTAAGTAACTATCCAATTCCCATAGACTGGCTGGGACAACACAGCAACATATAGATTTAAATTTTAAAACCAGAAATATATTTGTTGGTACCCACATAAATAAAGGAAGTACAATACATATTTAATGTTACACGTGTTAACAGCGGCTAAAATTATGTTTGTACAATAGTGGAAAAATGAAGCGTTCCCCATAGATGAAATTAAAAAATTACAATGTGCAGAAATGGATAGAGATAAGAGGTAGAAATTAGGCAGAGAATGATCATTGCTATGTATGAATTAAATAGAGAAGGTTGATAATTATAAACATGTTGATATAATTAACAAAATTAGAAATAAGCCGATACAAAGAAATTTAAATATTTTTTCTGTTACACTGCTGTACTTATTGATATTTGTTTCTGCTTTGCTTTTTCATTTATGAAATATTTTATAATACGTTATAAGTATAATAAAATTACAGAGGTAAGGTAAAGTAAGGATATATTGTTATAGAATAGATTGGTGATGATGAAATGAACATTATAAAGTAGATTAAGTAAAAATGGTGATTTGTTCACATAAAATGATGTAATATTAGTAATAATATAAATATATATCGTGGATTTATGATATAAGGATTAATGCAAATTTGAAGGGAAAGATTGCAGAGATTGTGCAGAAGTGATTTGTACCAACCAACACACTGAAGATGGTAACTGAAGGTGGTTTATTTTTTGTTTGTTTTATGTTTAAAAATAAAAATAAAAAACTTTTATTTAAAAAAAAATCATTTATGTATGCATGAAACTTCTTTTTTTTTTTTCCAAAAATTTTATTAATTTTTAAAAAACACATATACAAACAAAACACAAAACATGAAAAACATAAAACATCTTTTTTGAAAGCAGCTTGATCCCGGGTTACATCTCTTCGTACAGACATAAATTCAAGTTCATGCTCACTTTTATATACCATTCCATATCTTATTACCATTCTACATTTTTATATAGTTTCTCCCCTCTTTTCACTCTCTTAATTCTATTTTATTTATTTCATCTTAATTTAAATCATTATACTTATATCCTTTGTCTGTCCTGTTTCAGCTGTCTATTATCTTTTCTCATTAACACAAAATTTATCCTGTTATCAGTGATTGGAATATGACGCCTTTATATCTTTCCCCTAAATTTAACACTTAATATAATACATAACTTTCATTCGGATTCTGCTTAGTACATTCTAAAACTATTTTAATATAACTATATAGTATAATTAAAACAACAATCCATACCAATTGAACTCTATCATTAAAATTAATATTCATTTAAATCTTAAACATTTTACACATTCCTTTTCAAATAGGTATCATGCTTCTATGGGAACAGTTATAAATTTTACGTAGTTACTTCCCCCCCATTTCATTTATATTTTAAAACATTATGTAATTAAAATGTTCCCATTCCTTCTTAAACCAATTCTCTCATATTTCATTTCATTTATTTTGTTCAAGAAAAAAAAAGTTTCACTGAATTACATTGAATATTTTATCCCATTTTATAATCATATGTTATTCCAATTTTCTAACATTATTTTTAATACAAATACAACAATACAGTCTTATGTACCTTTGCAGAATCTCATTTTCAGTTATATTTTACCCATTATCTCTAAATAAATCCTGTTTCTTTACATCTTGTTTCAAACCTTTGTAGCTTCTCTTCCCATCCTTCCTCCCTTGCTTCTTCATTCTGCCCTTTTTACCCCCTTGTCTCTCCATCTCCATTTCCCTCTTCTGTATTCCTCTTTTCTGTTGCATTCTAACATTATATCCACTTCTCACCTTATTTTTCCCTTTTTTGGTTGTTTTTTTAGGTCTTAAATTCTCCATTCTCTTTCCCCCCTTTCCCCTTTCTTCCCCAGATAACGTTACTTGTTCATTAAAGATGGCTTCTTCTTTGTCCCAATCTTCTTGTTCTTGTAGTTTCTCATATGTAGAAATCACCATTTCTAAAAAATAAAAAACGGAGCCAAAAGAGCCCTTCCCTTCTTGTTCCTCTTCTTTATATTTTTTGAATTCCATTTTCAGTTCATCCACAAGTGATACCATTGTAAAAAAAAAATTAAACAACCACCCAAGTGTTTTTAATCATTGAAATATAATTTCCAAAAGTCCCAGAGTCACCAAGCAGTCCAAATACACACAAGCTGTTTCATTTAACACTTTCTTCTTTTTTCACATTCTCTTCCTGGGGCTACAATTCAGTTACAAAGTTCCAATTAAAATGTATCTTTTAGAAGTCTTGTTACAATTTAACTTTAGATTCTTTTAAAATTCCAAGCAGTCTCCTCCAGCCAGATCTTACTCTTATTCTTTTCCTCTCCCTTCCCACTTACAGCAAGAAACATTTTTTTCAGTGATCAGAAATCTTTATTGTCCCCTTGGCTTTAATTTTCCAGTTTAATTACCTGCTGTTGCCAAAGCGGGTTTTTCCAATTTCTCATTCATCTGCTGTCACCGTAAGGAAGGAGAATGAGAAAAAACAAACTTTCCCTTTTCACTTTCATTCGCTGCTTCCGGATCTTTGGGAGCGATGTATCCTATTTTAAAATTTAAATTCCAGGGTATCTTGAATGTTGCTTCTTATCCCGGTCAGCCAAAACTTTCACTTCTTAGCTTCCTCCTGCACATTCTTTTCCGGATGAGTGCTTCTTTGTGGCGGCCATTTCTGACCGCTGCTCTACCGCCTTCGGAAAAGGGAGTTAAGCCAGCTGGGGAGGAGAGGTTCGGCTCCCCTCAAGCCTTGCTGGGTCTCCCCTATCTTCAGTCACCTCTACGGGGTGACTTAGCCCCGAAGCCGGGTGGCTCGGGGCACTCCAGCGGCAAGCGCAAGCAGAAACCGCGCACGATCGCGGATTCCTGCTGCCGCCGAAGCCCTACAAACCGGAAGTCAATTCATGCATGCAACTTCTTGTTACACTGATGTTGCTATATATTGATTTAAGCAGAAACAGATAATGTATAACAACAATGTAAAAAGAAGTTACCTGTCTCATTTTTGGTAAGTTGTTTTTTTATTTATGTATTTATTTATGATACGAAAAAAATAAAAAAAAATAAAAAGCAACTTACCAAAAATGAGGCAGGCAACTTGACTAGCCAGCTACGCCGGAGTCCTCCTCCTTAGTCTTCAATGAAGACTAAGGACTGGCTGGCCCAGGAGTCGGCACTCAACCAGGCGGTAGTGGTGGCAGGAGAAGGTAGGTGACCAGCGGGGCTTGCTGCTTTGCTTCCTCATTTACCAATTGGGGATGGGAAGGCAAGGCAGCAACCCTTGGGCCATGGTGGGCAAGGGAAGATGGTGCCAGCCTAGCCAAGATGGCAGCCGCCATGTGGGCAAGGCAGCAGTGGCCGGCCCAGGAGTTGGTACTTGACTGGGCTGGTGGCGGTGGCAGCAGCAGCAGCAGCAGGAGGTAGGGGACCAGCAGGGCTTGCTGCTTTGCCTCTTCACTTACCAATCAGTGGTGGGGAAGACAAGGCAGCAACAATGGAGGGCCATGGTTGAGGGAAGATGAGGTGAAGCGGGTGAGGCAGGGGGCGTCAGCGAGGGTGATGGGCATCCCGGGAGTCAGCACTCAACCGGGACTGGTGGCGGCAGGTAGGTGCCCGGGTTGGAGGTCGTACTTACCAATCCGTGTCTTTGGAGGCTGGGGTAGGTAGTCCGAGTGGGCGAGGACAGCTAGCAGCGGTGGCAGCCAGGGCTTATGTCGTCTTTAATGGCAGCCAGCGCGGCAGTCCAGGCAAGACAGACAGGCTGGCCTGGGAGGCAATCCAGGCAAGGTACAGCCTGGGAGGCAGACTGGCCAGGCGAGGGCGGTTAGCGGCGGTGGCAACTAGGGCTTGCGGCTTGCCCTCACTCACTCAGCAGGGAGGCAGAAGGCAGGCAGCGACGGCTGGCTGGCTGGCTGGCTGGCTGGCTGAGCTGCTGTTGCTGCTGCTAGTGGTGGGAGCGATGGTGCCGGGCAGGAAAATTTTTGTAGGTAGCACACATGCGCTATATGTCAGGGCGAGCAGGGGGAGAATGAGACAAGGATTTTTGTGCATGCGCAGTAAAAAATTCAGGGTTTTTTAGTGTAGGAGCGGTGGATAGGGATGGGGGGACGGGGATAGTGAAGGGAGGGGCGGGTGGGGGAGAATGAGGCAATGATTTTCACTCACGTGCGAAAAATGTTGTGCATGTGCAGTAAAAAAAACACGGTTTTTGGCCCATAGGAGCGGCAGAGAGGGGCAGGGCCAGGCAGGGGTAGGTTTTACTAGTTCTTACAACTAACATTAACAACCGGTTCTATAGAACCAGTGCAAACCGGTAGAATCCCACCCATGGCTACTTCTCCATACATGATTAACAATCAGTTGGACCATTCTGAAGTTACAGGCAGTTTGCATCTCCCTCATCTTGAGGAAGCTAGGCTGTCTCATACATCGTTCTAGTTGGCTGAGATGACTATGCAAACCAGCTGGCTGGTACAACAGAATGGGTATTCTAAATAGCACAAACCATTTTATGGAATCTAAATTGCTTTCCTAATCTTTTCTCCAAAAGTTAAGAGTTTTATTGCAAGGAAACACTTCATAGCAAATAACACAATTTGGATTCTAGCTTTGGTTGTTATAGCAACAAATGATGTGGAAGAAGTCTTTCCTTCCACTTTTTGGAATTGTGCTGAAACAGTCACCTCACAGCTAGCCTTTTTTGAACAAATTATTTCAATGATCCTATAAGTAAGTTCTGCATTTATGTTTCTCTCTTTGAGGAAGATGGACTGTCTACAAATATGAAAAATAAAATAAATTGATGCAGTCAACAAAACTGGATACAGAAGCCAAACAACTCTCAATGCATTTGAAAAATTAAAACTGTTTCAGAAATCTCTGGTTCATCTACCGATCATAAAGTTATCAAATATCTACACTGTTCAAAAAAACCAACAAAAATACATTAGGTACACAACGTACATAATGAAAAGGAAGGGGTCAATGGCTAACAAAATCGCTTAGATATTTCTGTTTTCCTACATGGTACCAGGAAATAAAGTTTCAGAATGACCCACAAAGGCAGAAATCTGCTTTTATATGTTACATTCAAACAAACTAACAAAAATATTCTTGTCAAAATATGTTCTTTAGGCAGGCTCTGTTACAGCTGTAAGTTATTCAGTGGCTTTAAGTGCAAAACTTTGGCAGTGTGAAAAATACAAAAATTTATCAATACTAGAAAGTGATAATAATGTGAAGTCTGATCCTGCAAGCAATGTGGTATACACTGATTTCATTGCAAAAGGTCAGATATTTAATTACTGTCTGTGTGATATGTATATTATATACAATATAAACATATGGTATCAACACACAGAAAGCATGTCCAACTTCTAATATATGTATATAGAATGGCTCTTCAATAAACTTGAGTTTTTCATTTTGAGGTACATTATTTACAAAATGCAGCTTTAATAAACAAGAAGACAATCACATCTGAAGATTAAATAATGCATCTATTTAATGCCTTTAGAAAATGGGTATTTGAATCCAGGTGAATTTAGCAATGACTCTTCCAGAGGGGATTAAAGTACATCCACCCATCGCCCTGAAAAAAATTACAAAAATTGCAGATAAGCATCTATATTAACGTAAGAACTTGTCAAAAATATAATAAAATATAATAAGATCTCTGTTAAGAAAATATCGACATCCAAAATATTTTTTGACATTATTTTGGCAATACTTTCTCATGAAGTAAATTGAACACACTACTTAGTTTTAAAAAATTCAGATTTTTGTTTTTGATTTAATCTTTTTAGCATCATCATCTTAACAGAAAACTTAAAAAAGAAAGTAGAAAAAAGAAATCTAGATGTTCAGCATAATTATAATAATGACTAATAATACAGCCTGCTTTAAAAAATCTTAATATAAAAATAAGCTGCTATACTGGAAGTATACTCCATGAATACAATCCACTACAGAACAATATCTTAGCTTTTCATATTTCACTTTTGCTTCTCTGAATTAAAGATACTCCACTGTTTCATCTTAAGCTACGACTGCTAGATGTAGGTTATACAAAAACTGGATGATTGGTTCATTTCTTTACTGTCATTTAATGGCTGTTGAAAGTTGTGTAGTCTGGCTCTCATAGACCAATTTAAACCTTAATGTTCTGGATTTAGTCCAAATTTAGATGTAGGATGTTCCCAAACTTTTTCAGTCCACCGCCCCATTGGTGCTACAAACTCATCCTCAGTGTCCCCCACCCGGGTGTGGGATTCAAATTTCTGTGGGCATGGCCTAATTTGAGGGTGTGGCTTGCTGGTCATGTGACTGGGTGGGCGTGGCTTGCTGGTCATGTGGCTTGCTGGTCATGTGATTGGCTGGCGTGGCTTGCTGGCTCGGCATGGCTTGCTAGTCACATGACTGGGTAGGTATGGTTTGGTGGTCATGTGACTGGGTGGGCATGGCCAGGTGACTGGCAAACAAGTGGTCCTCACTTAATGGCCGGTTGCTTAGCAAGTGTTCTAATTTATGACTGGCCTCCCCAGAGCTACTTGACCTGTTTTTGGAGTTTTGACAGCCATGCACACACATACACACACATTCCCTTCTAACCCTTCTAACCCTGCTGGAGCAGGTCTTTGGACTAGAATCGACAAACCATCTCTGATTAGATTCTAGTAGTGCCAATTCTTGCTGATTTGTTTTATTTGTATTTCTTTATTTTATGTTGCTGAATTGCATTGCCATGTGTGTCCCTTCTTGTGCACAACCCAGAAGCTTTTGTGATTCTTTGCAACAAAAATTACCGACCTCTGGCTTTGCTCTACTTTTCAAATGTGCCGCCACTGCCGTGTTCTAGGTGCCGGCCCCACAGGTCCACCCCATTGAGCCCGCTGCACCGGAGGGACCTGCCCAAGCAAGTCCGAGCGGAGCAATGCACCAAGTCAATGGGGTGAGCCTGAGAGAGGGAAAGAGAGAGAGAGAAAAGAAAGAGAGAGAGAGAGAGAGAAGGAAAAAAAGAAAGAGAAAAGTGGAGATTTCCGGTTTGCAGTGCTTCGGGGCAGGCAGGAATCTGCGATCGTGCGCGGTTTCTGCCTGCGCTCGCTGCTGGAGTGCCCTGAGCCACCTGGCTTCAGGGCTAGCCACCTCCGTAGAAGGTGGTGAAGACAGGGGGGATCTGGCAGGGTCGAGAGATATCGCACCTCTCTTCCCAAGCCGGCTAAACTCCCTTGTCCGAAGGCGGTAGAGCGGCAGTCAGAAGTGGCCGCCACAAAGAAGCGCTCAGACGGAAAAGAAAGTGCAGGAGGAGTTAAGAAGAAGTGAAAGTTTTTTTGATGACTGGGACAAAGAAACAATGAAGGTACCCTGGAACTTAAAACTTGCAAAAGATACATCGTTCCCAGAGATTTACAAGCGGTGAATGAAAGTTAAAAGGGAAAGTTCTATTTTTTTCAGTCTCCTTCCTAACGTTGACAACGAACAGAAAAAAAAATCTCTTTTGTTCTAAGTGGGAAGTGAGAGGAAAAGAACTGGAGCAGGATTTGGAAGCAAGGAGATTGCCTAGAATTTTAAAGAATCATTAAATACTAACAAGACTTCTAAAAGATACATTTTAACTGGAATATTGCAACTAAACAGTAACCCCAGAAAGAGAAAGTGAAGAAAGAAGAAAGTGCTAAAAGAAACAGCTTATTTGGACTGTTTGGTGACTTTGGGACTTTTGGAAATTATCTTTGAAGGACTAAAAACACTTGGGTGGTTGTTTTGAAGAAGAAAAAATTTTCTCTCTACAATGGCATCACTTGTGGATGAATTGAAAATTGAATTCAAAAAATACAAAGAAGAGGAACAAGAAGGGAAGTACTCTCTTGGCTCTCTTTTTCAATTTTTAGAAATGGCGATTTGCACCTATGAGAAACTGACTGCGCAACAAGATGATTTGGACAAAGAAGAAGCCATCTTTGATGAACAAGTAACTTTATTTGGGGAAGAAAGGGAGAAGGAGGAAAAGAAAAAGGAGACTTTAAGACTTAAAAAAACAACCAAAAAAAGAAAGAGAAAAGTGAAAGAAAGAAAAAGGGACAAAGAAAGAGAGGGGGATGGAAGGAAGCGACAGAAAGAAAAAGAAATAAAGATGGAGGGAGGGAGGGAGGAGAAAGATAATGAGATATCTATTCTAGCCCAATCACCTGCTCCAGCAGGGTTAGAAGGCAGTGTGTGTGTGTGTGTGTGTGTGTGTGTGTGTTCTTGTAATTTACCAGTACATTTTGGTTTTTTGCCTTCTTCAGAATTGGCACTGTAATACATTGGGGCAAAGCAATTTTTAGGGTGGAGATCTGGTCCAATGGATCCTGTTTAAAGCCTCAACAAAATGTGAGATCTCCCTGATAGTCTTGACCATGTTTTGACAATTATTTCATTGGAGATGGATCATGCTGACTATTATTTAAGATTCCAAAACATTGACGAAGAAATGGGGAGAAACCTAGCAGAACTAATGGTAGACTTGCTGGTAAGGGCCTTGGAGGTGACCAAAGAAAAGTGATGACTGATATAGATGAAATATTTAGAGGAGAAACCAGATATGCATTGAGGAATAAGCTACCAAGAGAGGTATATGTTAGGTTCACAAAGAAAGCCATAAGAACAGAAATCTTGCAGAAAGAGAGATGATCCATTGAAATATAAAGGGAAAGGAATAACAGTTTTGAAGCAAATACCAAGAAAAGTAAGAGATTTGAGAAGGAATACAGTTGGTGGCAAAATGTCAAATTAAAAGAGGGATCAACTTCAGATGGTTGATATCAGAGGGAACAATGGTGACATGGCAGAAACAGAGACACAGAGACACAGATTAGATTCCATAGAGAAAGCGCATCATTCGAGAGGAAGAGGAAGAGAAAATGAGGGAAACAGAAGAAATTAAGAAGCAGCAAGAGAGAGGAATTGACGACAGCGGAGAGGAAAAAGAACAAGAAGAAAGAGTAAGAAGAGAAGAAGTGAGACCAAAGGAAGCATAAGACATAAGAATGACAAGAGCAACTAAACCCTATTATAAATAAAGACATAGGAGAAGAAATAAAGAATGTCAATTAACATAAATGGACTGAATTCAGCAATAAAAAGAAAAAGGATATTTAACAAACTAGAGAAACTAAAACTGGATATAATTTGTTTACAGGAAGTACATATTAAAAAGCAACACAATAAAGTATTGGACTATCCTAAAAATGGGAAACTATAACCTCCCTAGCACAACAAAGCAAAAGCGGCATAGCGTTATACATTAATGACACAATAAAAACTAAACAAATCTTTCAATATTATGAGGGAAGGGTGTAAATGGTTGTTATGGTTAGCTGGCAGCAGTGAGGAGGAGGTTCCTGAGGAGCCTGTGCTAAGTGCGAGTGAGTGCAGGATGATTCACAGAAAAGCAGCAGAGGGCCACTCAGGAGTAAGAATGCCAATTAATGGCCCCTCCCTTCAGGGAATATAAGCCTGGTTTCAAAGGGTTTTTGCTCTGTAGAAGGCAAAAACGTTCTAAGACGCTCTAAGGACCCAGCATTGTGTGTACAGATACTGGCTTATCTGAAGAATTCTGTCAAGGCTTTTCTGGTTGGACTAATTGGCTGCCAGCCATCTTTTATCTATCTATCTATCTATCTATCTATCTATCTATCTATCTATCTATCTATCTATCTATATTTATTTGATTTGTCAATCGCTTACAAGATACAGGTATAAGAATAAACATAGTTTTGAATACATGAGATAGATACTTATATAAGAAAAATAAAAAGAAACAATAGGACAGGTATGGTAGGCACGATTGTTGTGCTTATGCACGCCCCCTACAGTCCTCTTAGGAAGGGGGTGAAATCAATAGTAGACAGACTCGGGTTAAAGTTTTGTGGTTTGGGGAAGAGTCAGGTAGAGTATTCCAAACATTGACCACTCGTTGCTGAAGTCGTATCTTCTGCAGTCAAGTTTGGTGCGGTTAACCTTGAGTTTGTATCTATTGTGTGCTCTTGTATTGTTATGATTGAAGCTGAAGTATTCATTTGCAGGTAGGACATTACAATGTATGATTTTATATACTATATTTAGATCGGACCTGAGGCAGCGTAGTTCTAAGTTTTCTAGGTCTAGAGTTTCAAGTCTGGTGGCATAAGGTATTCTGCAATGAGTAGAGGAGTGGAGAACTCTTCTTGTGAAATATTTCTGGACTTTTTCAATCAGATACATGATATGGCTTCCAGATTGATGAGCTGTATTCAAGTATAGGTCTAGCAAATGTTTTGTACGCTCTAGTTAGTGTGATATTACCAGAGAAGAAGCTACGTAGGATTAGATTAACAACTCTTAATGCTTTTTTGGCTATGTAGTTACAGTGGGCTCTAGCACTTAGATCAGGGGTGGGCAAACTTTTTGGCTCGGGGGCCGCATTGACTTTTAAAATTTGACAGACGGGCTGGGTCAGCACAAGATTTTTGGGGAATCGCCCCCCCACCCTTTCCCCCCCTCTTCTCCTCCTTCCCCTCCCCTCGGAGGCCCCCTGAGTCAGGAGTTGCTACCGGCGGCACGGCTCCACGC